CACCCAATACAGGAGCACCCACATTCATAAAGCAAGTCCTTAGAGACCTACAGAGACTTAGACTCCCACACAATAATAATGGGAGATTTTCACACCCCACTGTCAACATTAGACAGATCAATGAGACAGAAAGTTAACAAGGATACCCAGGAATTGAACTCAGCTCTGCACCAAGCAGACCTAATAGACATCTACAGATCTCTCCACCCCAAATCAACAGAATATACATTCTTCTCAGCACCACATCGCACTTATTCCAAAATTGACCACATAGTTGGAAGTAAAGCACTCCTCAGCAAATGTAAAAGAACAGAAATTATAACAAACTGTCTCTCAGACTACAGTGCAATTAAACTAGAAATCAGGATTAAGAAACTCACTCAAAACCACTCAACTACATGGAAACTGAACAATCTGCTCCTGAATGACTACTGGGTACATAACAAAATGAAGGCAGAAATAAAGATGTTCTTTGAAACCAATGAGAACAAAGACACGACGTACCAAAATATCTGGGACACATTTAAAGCAGTGTGTAGAGGGAAATTTATAGCACTAAATGCCCACAAGAGAAAGCAGGAAAGATCTAAAATTGACACCCTAACATCACAATTAAAAGAACTAGAGAAGCAAGAACAAACACATTCAAAAATTAGCAGAAGGCAAGAAATAACTAAGATCAGAGCAGAACTGAAGGAGATAGAGACACAAAAAACCCTTCAAAAAAATCAGTGAATCCAGGAGCTGGTTTTTTGAAAAGATCAACAAAATTGATAGACTGCTAGCAAGACTAATACAGAAGAGAGAAGAATCAAATAGATGCACTAAAAAATGATAAAGGGGATATCACCACCGACCCCACAGAAATACAAACTACCATCAGAGAATACTACAAACACCTCTATGCAAATAAACTAGAAAATCTAGAAGAAATGGATACATTCCTGGACACATACAGCCTCCCAAGACTAAACCAGGAAGAAGTTGAATCCCTGAATAGACCAATAACAGGCTCTGAAATTGAAGCAATAATTAATAGCCTACCAACCAAAAAAAGTCCAGGACCAGACGGATTCACAGCCGAATTCTACCAGAGGTACAAAGAGGGGCTGGTACCATTCCTTCTGAAACTACTGAATCAACAGAAACAAAAGGAATCCTCCCTGACTCATTTTATGAGGCCAGCATCATCCCGATACCAAAGCCTGGCAAAGACACAACAAAAAAAGAGAATTTCAGGCCAATATCCCTGATGAACATTGATGCAAAAATCATCAATAAAATACTGGCAAACCAAATCCAGCAGCACATCAGAAAGCTTATTCAACATGATCAAGTGGGCTTGATCCCTGGGATGTAAGGCTGGTTCAACATATGCAAATCAATAAACATAATCCATCATTTAAACAGAACCAAAGACAAAAACCACATGATTATCTCAATAGATGCAGAAAAGGCCTTCGACAAAATTCAATAGCCTTCATGCTAAAAACTCTCAATAAACTAGATATTGATGGGATGTATCTCAAAATAATAAGAGCTATTTATGACAGACCCACAGCCCATATCATACTGAATGGGCAAAAACTGGAAGCATTCCCTTTGAAAACTGGCACAAGACAGGGATGCCCTATCTCACCACTCCTATTCAACATAGTGTTGGAAGTTCTGGCCAGGGCAATCAGGCAGGATAAAGAAATAAAGGGTATTCAATTAGGAAAAGAGGAAGTCAAATTGTCCCTGTTTGCAGATGACATGATTATATATTTAGAAAACCCCACTGTCTCAGCCCAAAATCTCCTTAAGCTGATAAGCAACTTCAGCAAAGTCTCAGGATACAAAATTAATGTGCAAAAATCACACGCATTCCTATACACCAATAACAGACAAACAGAGAGCCAAATCATGCGTGAACTCCCATTCACAACTGCTTCAAAGAGAATAAAATACCTAGGAATCCAACTTACATGGGATATGAAGGACCTCTTCAAGGAGAACTACAAATCACTGCTCAACAAAATAAAAGAGGACACAAACAAATGGAAGAACATTCCATGCTCATGGATAGAAAGAATCAATATCGTGAAAATGGCCATACTGCCCAAGATAATTTATAGATTCAATGCCATCCCCATCAAGCTACCAATGACTTTCTTCACAGAATTGGAAAAAACTAAAGTTCATATGGAACCAAAAAAGAGCCTGCATTGCCAAGACAATTCTAAGCCAAAAGAAGAAAGCTAGAAGCATCATGCTACCTGACTTCAAATTATACTACAAGGCTACAGTAACCAAAACAGCATGGTACTGGTACCAAAACAGAGATATAGACCAATGGAACAGAACAAAGCCCTCAGCAATAATACCACACATTTACAACCAGCTGGTCTTTGACAAACCTGACAAAAACAAGAAATGGGGAAAGGACTCCCTATTTAATAAATAGTGCTGGGAAAACTGGCTAGCCGTATGTAGAAAGCTGAAACTGGATCCCTTCCTTACACTTTATACAAAAATTAATTCAAGATGGATTAAAGACTTAAATGTTAGACTTAAAACCATAAAAACCCTAGAAGAAAACCTAGGCAATACCATTCAGGACATAGGCATGGGCAAGGACTTCATGACTAAAACACCAAAAGCAATGGCAACAAAAGCCAAAATTGACCAATGGGATCTAATTACACTAAAGAGCTTCTGCACAGCAAAAGAAACCACCATTCAAGTGAACAGGCAACCTACAGAATGGGAGGAAATGTTTACAATCTACCCATCTGACAAAGGGCTAATATTCAGAATCTACAAAGAACTTAAACAAATTTACAAGAAAAAAATCAAACAACTCCATCAAAAAGTGGGCGAAGGATATGAATAGACGCTTCTCAAAAGAAGATATTTATGCAGCCAACAGACACATGAAAAAATGCTCATCGTCACTGGCTATCAGAGAAATGCAAATCAAAACCACAATAAGATACCATCTCACACCAGTTAGAATGGCAATCATTAAAAACTCAGGAAACAACAGGTGCTGGAGACGATGTGGAAAAATAGGAACACTTTTACACTGTTAATGGGACTGTAAACTAGTTCAACCATTATGGAAGACAGTGTGGCGACTCCTCAAGGATCTAGAAGTAGAAATACCATTAGACCCAGCCATCCCATTACTGGGTATATATCCAAAGGATTATAAATCATTCTACTATAAAGACACATGCACACGTATGTTTATTGCAGCAGTATTCACAATAGCAAAGACTTGGAACCAACCCAAATGTCCATCAATGATAGGCTGGATTAAGAAAATGTGGCACATATATGCCATGGAATACTATGCAGCCATAAAAAAGGATGAGTTCATGTCCTTTTTGGGGACATGGATGAAGCTGGAAACCATCATTCTCAGCAAACTATCGCAAGGACAGAAAACCAAACACCGCATGTTCTCACTCATAGGTGGGAATTGAACAATGAGAACACTTGGACCCAGGGTGGGGAATATCACACACCGGGGCCTGTTGTGGAGTGGGGGGCTGGGGGAGGGATAGCATTAGGAGATATACCTAATGTAAATGACAAGTTAATGGGTGCAGCACACCAACATGGCACATGTATACATATGTAACAAACCTGCACATTGTGCACATGTACCCTAGACCTTAAAGTATAATAATAATTAAAAAAAAAAAAAATCACACAACAATGGTAATTTTGCTCTAAACATATTCCAAAGGAAACTTACCATATTGGAAAAAGCCACAAACTGCACCAAAAGCACTCAAATCGAGGTGAGCTTGGCTTGATTAGGGCTTGTGTTCTCCTTAGTAAGATCAGTACCTTTCCCTCAGTCACTTCAACAGGAAGAGTAGATGCTCTGCAAAGGCTGCCCTGCCAGTAAACTCCCAGCCAGAAAATGTTGCCTTTGCACCCTGAATTTATACAGGCATACTAAAACTAAAATCTTTGTTGTTGTTGTTGTTGTTGTTGAGATGGAGTCTCGCTCTGTTGCCAGGCTGGAGTGCAGTGGCGCGATCTCAGCTCACTGCAACCTCTGCCTCCTGATAAAACTAAAATCTTAATCCTTATGCTTCCTTTTGATATCATCACCATCATACAGAATCTCATGATTAGAAGTCAACTACTTTAATTCCCCCAGAGGTGGCAAACTCGAATGCTTACAGGCTCCAAGAAGATAACACCAAAGAGCAAAGCAGCAGTCCACTGACAGTAACTAGGGCAGACATACCTGCCCTGCCCAAAGTGGGCAACCACTGCAGTTTAGTTTTTGCCATGTGAAAATTCAGGCACTGTATTGCCAGATCCTACTGTTAAAAGAGAACTCTGAAACCTAGACCTTTATGAGAAATCTTCTAATTTTTATACAATGGAAACTAACTCAAAATGTTTTTAAACACCTCAAAGTGGGGAGAAGAAAAGAAAGGTCTATAGACTACTTTCAACCCATGAGCCACCAAGTACAACTTTTATACTATCATACAGCCTCTGCCCAAATAACTCAAGTGAAAGGGAGCTCAGTTCCTCTAAGAGAAGGCCATTTTGGAATAGCTCTAGTATTATGATGCTTTTACTTATATTAAGGAGCTATAAGCTACCTCACATAACTTTCATTCATTAGAATATAAAAGTGAGAATTTTATATTAACATGGAATTATATTCTTCTAAGTGTTATTCTATCTCTCTCTCTTATCTCACCTGAACCTCTCATCAACCCCAAGATAAATAAAACAGATAGACTGGAAATCTTTCCCAGTTAAAGCTGAAGTACAAAGACGGTATTGCAACTAATCTTTGGCCAATCTGTGAGTTTTCACATTACATATAAAACCCAGTCTTCTAATTCTCATTTTCCATTGCTCTTTCCATTCTGACACAAAGCCTGACACCTTGTAGTAACTGAGATATGATGTACTATCTTACATTCACTCCTGCCAGCATTACCAAATTCCCGTAGAGTATAAACCAAACATTTTAATACCTAGTAGTGCTAGAGGGCTCAGTGGGTGGAAATCCAAAGGCATTGACATGAAACACTTGATCTTCAAACCAACCTGAAAAAAAGTAACATCACTTTCATTTGTCTAATCCTCTGTGTTTGAAAGGACAAAATTATGTTACAACAAAGCAGTAATGTCAGGCTAGTCTTATGCCCTGTGAACTAATTACAGAGGTTGCCAGCCTCAACTTTAGATCCACAGAGTCTCAACTTATAAAGTTCATTAAATAGAAATAGATTCATAACTTTTCGCTTTTCAGTTTGGCAGTACGTGTTGAAATACATATTAGGAAATGTTTCATTTTATGGCCCTATATAAAATTAAGTGTTTTTTTCAACTTTATTGAGATATCATTCACATACTATACAATTCACCCTTTAAAAGTATATAATTCAGGGCCGGGCGCAGTGGCTCATGCCTGTAATCCCAGCACTTTGGGAGGCTGAGGCGGGCGGATCACAAGAAACCATCCTGGCTAACATGGTGAAACTTCGTCTCTACTAAAAATACAAAAATAAAAAAAAAAATTAACCAGGTGTAGTGGCAGGCAACTGTAGTCCCAGCTACTAGGGAGGCCAAGGCAGGAGAATGGCGTGAACCCAGGAGGTGGAGCTTGCAGTGAGCCGAGATTGTGCCATTGCACTCCAGCCTGGGCAACAGAGTGAGACTCCGTCTCAAAAAAAAAAAAACAAAAAAAAAAGTGCATAATTCAGGTCGGGCATGGCTCATGCCTGTAATCCCAACACTTTGGGAGGCCAAGACAGGTGGATTGCCTGAGCTCAGGAGTTTGAAACCAGCCTGGGCAACATGGTGAAACCCCGTCTCTACTAAAATACAAAAAATTAGCCAGACATGGTGGCATGCACCTATAATCCTAGCTACTCGGAAGGCTGAGGCATAAGAATCACTTGAACCCAGGAGGCGGAGGTTGCAGTAAACCAAGATCACACCACTGCACTCCAGCCTAGGTGACATAGTGAGACTCTGTCTCAAAAAAAAAAAAAAAAAAAAAAAAGAAGTGTATCATTTGGTGATTTTTACTATATACACAGGTTGTGTAGCCATTACTACTATCTAATTTCAGAACATTTTCATCACCCCAAAAAGATTTCTATTAGCCCATTAACAGTCTAAGAGTTATTTTGCCAAAAATATGCTCTTCTAATTAATGGTATCCCAAATTATATCATGTTAACATATTTTACCCAAAGCAGAAATAGTTTTACTGGAGAATGAGAAGGAGGACAGTAACAAAGTATATTGACTTACCTTCTGCTAAGACAAAGCATGCCTCTGTGTATAAACCACTATGGAACTGGTACACAACAGCTGAGGAAAATAATTCTATTCTTGAGGCAGTAATAAAGTCAACATACATTTTGAGACCAACAAGGCTTCTAAATAATAAATTCAAAGACTTCCCATTTGAAACTGTGAATAGACCACAGCTTAGAAAGAGCTTTAAAAAATTTAGGTTTAAATGTCCTCATGTTTAATTCTTGGTAATATTGACAGGGTGGATCATTCTTACCATGATATAAACTTCGTCAGTCATTCGTCTAGATTCTTCAAATAAGAGGAAATTAAAGTTGTTCTGTCTCTGTTTAGGATTATATCTCTATATTCCTATACCAGCAACATAGAGAAGTTACATTGAGAACCCAAATAGGTAAGTTTTAGAAGGATATATAATCAATTTCCCCAATTCACATAATGCAGATTTTAAAAAATACAGACAAGTGAAGGATATAGCTTTACTAAGGTCTAGTTGTACTGTTCCAGTAGGATCTTCCAGAAAAAATTTTCCCTAAAAAAAAAATGAAAAGAAATAAATCCACATTTATGTAACAATGAAAACTGACAAAAAAATGAAACTACAAGTTTGACAACAGAATACAGTAGAGAGAAAAGTGGATTTTAAAAATCAGCTATTATTTCTAGTCCAGGCTCTTCCATTTACTAGTCTGATAACCCCAGACTAATCACTTAACTGAGATTCTGACACCTCACAGGTACAAAATGGAGAATGACTCCTACAGACAAAAAATGGCAAGAGGGACACTCAATGTCTGCCATACGGAGGGTCTCCCCAGGTACCTTCTAAGACAGCCAACAGCATCTCCAAGTGACCAGGACATACTCTGCAGATTGCTTGTTCAGAAACCCAGTACTCTCTGTTTATCCAGAGGTCACTAGGGGCCTAATTTCAGGCTATGCAAACTGGGCTCCCGGACAAGACACTGTCCTGATGTCTACTCAGGAAACCAACCACAAACGAAAAAGACACTTGGTAACTGAGAAAAGTTTTTTGTGTTTTTGTTTTCTGTTTTTTTTTTTTTGACTATTACAAAAGTTTATTTAACAAAAAGTCTAATATGAAAATGAACATGACCTAATTTTTACATCATTGTAAAACAGGCCCTATGGAGAGAGGAAATGGGTTTCTCTGCTGAACAGCCATTATTTTATTTTATTTATTTATTTATTTTGAGACAAAGTTTCGCTCTTGTTGCCCAGGCTAGAGCGCAATGGCACCATCTCAGCTCACTGCAACCTCCACCTCCTGGGTTCAAGCAATTCTCCTGCCTCAGCCTCCAGAGTAGCTGGGATTACAGGCATGCGCCACCACACCCGGCTAATTTTGTATTTTTAGTAGAGACAGGGTTTCTCCATGTTGGTCAGGCTGGTCTCGAACTCCTGGCCTCAGGTGATCCGCCTGCCTTGGACTCCTAAAGTGGCTGGGATTACAGGCGTGAGCCACTATGCCTGGCCAACAGCCATTATTTATCCTTATTCCAAGGCTTCTAACATGATGATACTATTTCCTTGTATTACCACTATTCCAATATTGTTCTGTTGGTGAGGCGAGTTTTCAATAAAGAGTACATTCCTGTGCCCGCCACAAAAATGTTCTATGTAACCAACATTTTATCAATCCAAGGCCAAAACTAAAAGTTTGATGTTTATTAAGTTACCTCTTTTAACTGCGTTATCATTCCAAGAACAATCACATCTCCGATTTTGGTTGTACTACCCAATAAGGTTTCTATTGTTTTAAGCTAAAATAAAACAAAATAAATTTTAAAGACTATAAATATATTCTTTCAAGAAACTAAACTTTTTATAAGTAAGTAAATTTGGGGTATACATTTCAGCATTTATAGCTACTTTACAGTAGAAAATCAAATAAAATGGAAATAAAGTTGTAAAATTAAACTTAGGATGTTTAATTTTGTCCTACAAAAAAGCTGTAAGATCAAGTGTATGATGGCCTGAAAGAATCATGCCTAAAGAAACACCACATCAACTCAGGCTCTTACCAATGACTGAATCCACACCATATCATTCCGAATAATGATAAGTACATTTATTTTTAAAATATAGAAAAGAATATCAATTTTATTTTATTTGAACAGTACCTTTTGAAAATTAGCAAGCTATTTAAAAATATATATTCTAATTTTACTTAGTATTTTAAAAGGCTCTCATTATTATTTACATTCTCAATCTGATCTTTTTTTCTAATCAGAAAATTTAAGGTAGTAAAAATTGGGACACCATTGTAAAAAATCCTTGCCACCCAGGCGCAGTGGCTCACACCTGTAATCCCAGCACTTTGGGAGGCCAAGGCGGGCGGATCACAAGGTCAGGAGATCGAGACCACAGTGAAACCCCATCTCTACTAAAAATACAAAAAATTAGCCGGGCGTGGTGGTGGGCGCCTATAGTCCCAGCTACTCAGGAGGCTGAGGCAGGAAAATGGCGTGAACCCAGGAGGCAGAGCTTGCAGTGAGCTGATATCACGCCACTGCACTCCAGCCTGGGCAACAGAGCAAGATTACATCTCAAAAAAATAAAAATTAAAATTAAAATTAAAATTAAAATTAAATAAAATAAAATAAAAAATCCTTTCCAACTTTTTCTGTATGTAATCCTAAATATATGTAAATACATTCATATATAACTTATGACACACACCTATACAGTTTATTCACAAAGATGAAATCATAGTATATGTACTATTCTGCAACTTAACTTTTTGAAGTTAATATCTGAGATATCTTTCCATTTTTCTACATATAAATTTCCTTCTGTTTAAAGAATAGAGATATCTATATTATACATATGACCATTTATTTCACCAAACTCCCATTAAAGGACATTTAAGTTGTTCCCAGTTTTCTACTAATAAAAACAATTTTTAACATTTCTGTGCACCTTTCTTTGGCCCACTACAGTGATAGAAACTTTTTTCTTTTTTTTTTGAGATGGGATCTCACATTGCCCAGGCTAGAGTGCAGTGACACTCTCATACCTCACTGCAGCCTTCAACTGGGCTCAAGTGATCCTTCCACCACAGCCCCTTGAGTCACCAGGATTACAGGCACTAGCCACTGCATCCAGCTACAGATAATAACTGTTGAATAAAGTTCTACACATTCTAGAAACACAATTGCTAGATAAAAGGATATGTAAGTTTTCATATTTATAGAAATTACCAAGTGGAACTTCTTTTATCTTTACGTTTTATCTTTGTTTTCTTATTACAAATAATTTATGTATACTATAGAAAAAAATTTAAAATATAGACAAGAAAGAAATAAAAACTTATACAATCCTATCATTCCATAATAATCACATTAACATTTAATACTGGAGTTACTCTTAAAAAATATGAACATTGGGCTGGGCGTGGTGGCTCATGCCTGTAAACCGAGCACTTTGGGAGGCTGAGGTGGATGGATCACTTGAGGTCAGGAGTTCAAGACCAGCCTGGCCTACATGGCAAAATACCATCTCTACTAAAAATACAAAAAAATTAGTTAGGCATGGTGGTGTGCACGTATAATCCCAGCTACTCAAGAGGCTGAGGCAGAATTGCTTGAACCTGGGAAGAGGAGGTTGCAGTGAGCCAAGATTGCACTACTGCACTACGGCCTGGGTGACAGAGCAAGACTGTCGGAAAGAAAGGAAAGAAAAGGGAAAGGGGGAAGGGAAGGGAAAAGAACCTAGCCAAGTGTAGTGGTGCACACCTATTGTCCCAGCTACTTAGGAGGCTGGGGCAGGAGGATCACTTGAGGCCAGGAGTTCAAGACCAGCCTGGGCAACATCACGAGACCCCATGTCTCTATCAAAAGAAAAAAAAAAAAGAACCTAAAACAACACAGGAGAAGTAAAATAACAGTAATTTTTAGCACATCATTTTTGCAATCTGTAAAGGGATATTATCATACAGGTAGATAAATGTAATTTAAGTAGGGAATGTGCCATCACAGATACAGAATTAGACAGTTTGAAAAGAATAATTATTTAGTTAAGCCTTAAAATTACTTGGTCAAAGAGGAGACGAGGGAAAAGGCTCCTGGGCTGTGGGCATCTCAGTTGCCAGAGAAAACCTAATATGGAAAACATATAGATGATCTTTGGTAGGGAAATATAAGTAATGCCAATTTCTAAAACCTAATTTATACTCTAATAAAAGTTTTGTTTGTTTGTTTGAGGGGGTCCTTACACTGTCACCCAGGCTGGAGTACAGTGGCATGATCTCAGCTCACTGCAGCCTCAACCTCCCAAGCTCAAGTCATCCTCCTACCTCAGCCTCTCAGGTAGCTGGGACCACAGGTGCACACCACCATGCCTGGCTAATGTTTTTTATTGTTTGTAAAGATGAGGTCTTGCTATGTTGCCCAGGTTGTGGGAACCATTTGTGTTCTCACATTCATTCTATAAATGTTGTTTCCTTAGTACCTTAAGTAAAGTTTTCACTTCAACCAATGTAACACATTCTAGTTCAATAACTGTGTGTGGTGGTCACGAGGGATGAGTTGGGCAAGGAACCAGTATTTGAGTGCCTTAGTGCTATGGTCACTAAGGGATGAGTGAGGGCAAGAAAAGAAATGTTGAAAAATTATCAGAAAGCCAGTGTAGTATCCAAATGGGCTAGAAAGCTATCTTGGAGGCCAGAGTGTATCTGGGGCTAGCATTGTATCAGGGCCTTCTCAAAGGAAGCAGTAGCTTCTGATAGAGATTTGTGGGACACAGGACTCTAGGAATGGACTATATCAAAAGTGGGCATGCAGCCAGTCCAGTTAGCTAAACAGTTACTAGTAGTTTATTTTCATTTAAAATTCAACAAATTAGAATTAAGCAACAAATATTAAACTTATACACTTATATCCCCTACATAACTAGGATAATGTTCTAACCTGGAATTTGCTTCCGCTTTCATCAGGGTGAGAACCTATCACCGGAGGAGTAAATAATTCATGCCTGTGGGTCCTCTATAAAAAAGAAAGATTCACATGAATTCCTGAAACAGACATTTAAATATAAGATTCACTAAAATAGTGTCCTGATGAAACACTGTCCTTAAACTAATGTCACTATTACTCATTCTCAACAAATTTGAAAACTCACATAATTTAACATGCAAATATCTAGTAATATGTTTTAAAATTCAAAAAATAAAAGTAAAAATTTTAAAGGTCTATTGTGCGTATGGCAGCAGCACATAGTGGGCTGAGGATATGAAGAACAACCAAGTGTCACTCTGAGAGCACTGGGGCTACTGAAAGAGAAGTGCCACCACACAACAAAGTACTGTGAGGGCTGACTGTACCCCAGGCCAAAGGGGCCATTGAACAACAGCCCAGATGATAAATAAGGTTTGGGTAGTAAGAAACAAAAGGAGGCTGAGATAAGACATTTCAGGGCCAGGCACAGTGGCTCACGCCTGTAATCCCAGCACTTTGGGAGGCCAAGGAGGGCGGATCACCTGAGGTCAGGAGTTCGAGACCAGCCTGGCCAACAGAGTGAAACTCCGTCTGTACCAAAAATACAAAAATTAGCTGGGTATGGTGGCAGGTGCCTGTAATTCCAGCTACTCAGGAGGCTGAGGTAGGAGAATTGCTTGAATCCGGGAGGCAGAGATTGCAGTGAGCTGAGATCGTGCCACTGCACTCCTGCCTGGGCAACAAGACCGAAACTCTGTCTCAAAAAAAAAAAAAAAAAAAAAAAGGCCTTTCAGGCAGAGAAATCATAAGAGTTAGAGTATTTAGGAAGCTATGCAAAGTTTAACACAGTTGAATTATGGAGTGCAGACAAGGCCAGAGATTAGTAAGATCCATGTGGGGATACTTCCCTCCCCAACTCTCAGTCCATATAGTTTAGGTAGGATTGATACCCTTTCCCCTTTCTATAGATAGGAATTCAAGGCCTACAAAATGAAAGTACTCCATCCTTTTGGCCAGTGATTGGTTCAAGGATGAGCAAGTGCTTCAAGGTAGGCTCAAAAAAGACAGATTCAAGACTTTTGCGGCCGGGCGCGGTGGCTCAAGCCTGTAATCCCAGCACTTTGGGAGGCAGAGACGGGTGGATCACGAGGTCAGGAGATCGAGACCATCCTGGCTAACACGGTGAAACCCCGTCTCTACTAAAAAATACAAAAAACTAGCCGGGCGAGGTGGCGGGTGCCTGTAGTCCCAGCTACTCGGGAGGCTGAGGCAGGAGAATGGCGTGAACCCGGGAGGCGGAGCTTGCAGTGAGCCGAGATCTGGCCACTGCACTCCAGCCTGGGCGACAGGGCAAGACTCCGTCTCAAAAAAAAAAAAAAAAAAAAAAAAAAGACTTTTGCTAGAACTATTAGAAAAGAGGAACTCTCTTTCCAAGAGTTGCTAAGGCTACTAGTGGAGATCTTTGTCACTTTATAGGGAGAACCTATTTGAAAGTAAAATCAATTTTTTAAAAGAGCTGGGACATGGAAAGAGACAGATGCCTCCTGATATTGTGTGAACACCTGGATCCAGCCAGGCTTGAAACTGGTGGACTTCTAGACTTCATAATACAAGCTAAACCAATATATTCCTTTTTCAGTTTTAATCAATTTGAGTTTCTGTAACCTCCAACTCAAAAAGCCCTGACAATACAAACTGTATCCCCAGCCAAGAAGTTTATCATATAGACAATGAGAAACAAAGATTTTGAAGTAGGATAATGAAAACATCAGATTGATTTTCTGGAAGATGACTGCAATGAAAATATGAATGGACTGAACTTCAACCTGTTTATTTCACAGATGAATAAATGAGGCTCAGAAGGGATAAGTGGCACACCCACAATAACAGAGTAGACTTCAAAACATACTTAAGAAAAAAGAAATATGGTGTTTACTAAGCACCTTCTTTGTATAAAGGACAGTGCCAAATGTGGCAGAGGAGATAAACAAGGAATTCACAGTCTAATCACAGGGTAAACACCTCAAATGCAAGGTAGGGCCAAGTCCAGTCAGTGACATAAAAGACGTACTACTCGGCTGGACTCAGTGGCTCACGCCTGTGATCCCAACACTTTGGGAGGCCAAGGCAGGTGGATCACGAGGTCAGGAGATGGAGACCATCCTGGCTAACACAGTGAAACCTCGTCTCTACTAAAAATACAAAAAATTAGCCGGGCGTTGTGGCATGTGCCTGTAGTCCCAGCTACTCAAGAGGCTGAGGCAGGAAAATCTCTTGAACCTGAGAGGCAGAGGTTGCAGCGAGCTGAGATTGCGCCACTGCACTACAGGCTGGGCAACAGAGTAAGACTCTGCCTCAGGAAAAAAAAAAAAAAAAAGACGTACTACTCGGTTCGAGCAGAAAGAGATTGCATTCAGCTAGGCATGGTGGCTCAGGCCTGTAATCCCAGCACTTTGGGAGGCTGAGGTGGGCAGATCACTTGAGGTCAGGAGTTCGAGCCCAGCCTGGCCAACATGGTGAAACCCCGTCTCTACTAAAATAAAAAAGTTAACTGGGTGTAGTGGTATGTGCCTATAATACCAGCTCCTTGGGAGTCTGAGGAAGAAGAATCACTTGAACCCAGGAGGCAGAGGTTGCAGTGAGCCAAGTTTGCACCACCGCACTCTAGCCTAGGCAACAGAGCGAGACTCCATCTCAAAAATAAAATAAATAAAAAAGAAAAAGATTGCATCTAACTGAAGATCAAGAAGGGCTCCAGAAAGGAGGAATCTGAGAAGAGTCTTCCAAAATTAGGACGGTTTCAACAGTGGAGATAAGAGGGAAGAGCAGTCTACAGGATAAACAAAGTCACAGAAGTAGTGAAAGAAACAGAAACAATAATTCCATATTTCAGCTTTGGCTCCAGCACAGAGTATGACTAGAGGAAAAGTAGAGATTAGGCCAATTATGTGTGAGAGAAGATCTTACATATTAAGGATAATCTGCATTTAATAGGCAGTGAATTTCCTTGAAAGACTTCTGTGCAAAACCCATGAGGTGGTCAGAGCTACACTTTGGGCAGATTAACCTGGCAACACTATGTCAGCAATGAAAGCAGCAGAGGATACTGTTTCCTCAAGGATCATTCTTTTCAACTTTTATTTAACCTACTGCTGACCATCTGCTCCTCCTTGAAGCCTTCTTGTGCTTCTGCCATATAACACCATCCTCGCCTGGCCCCCAAGTTCTATCTATCCTCTTTCCCTCTTCTCTCTCTTTTTTTTTTTTGAAATGGAGTTTCGCTCTTATTGCCCAGGCTGGAGTGCAATGGCGCCATCTCGGCTCACCACAACCTCCGCCTTCCGGGTTCAAGCAATTCTCCTGCCTCAGCCTCTCGAGTAGCTGGAATTACAGGCATGTGCCACCATGCCTGGCTAATTTTGTATTTTTAGTAGAGACAGGGTTTCTCCATGTTGGTCAGACAGGTCTCGAGATCCCGACCTCAGGTGATCCACCCGCTTCAGCCTGCCAGAGTGCTGGGATTACAGGCGTGAGCCATCGCGCCTAGCCTCCCTCTTCTCTTTTTATCACTTCTCTTTCTGCCAGGGTCTCATCCTTGCAGTTCCATTTTTTACTTTATGCAAATGCTCCCAAATCTCTCTCATGCTACCAGCTCTCTTTCCTTAGCTCCAGATGTACACTTCACTTGATATTCTCCTGGCAATCTTAACTCAAATGCTTAAAACGGAAACTGCCATCACCTTCTACAAACATTCTCTTTTTCCTGTTTAATGCATTATTCTATATTCTACTCTCTCAGACTCCAGGCCTTACTCATCTCTGATTCTTCACCCCCTCCCTTCTCCTTCACATCCAGACAGTCACCATGTGCTTATAGTTTCTGCTGCTTGAGGGTGATGCCCTCATTCTACACCCCTTGCCACTTCCTTCATCCAGGCTATCATTTATGCCAAGACTAATAGCACAGACTTCTAGAAGGCTTCTCTCACACTCTTAAGTCATCCCCATATCTGCTGGGGGAGGAAGCACTCAAAAAACTTGGCTGCGATTTTCTCTGGTATTCCAAAGCACCTCGCACAAGGAGAACAGTCCCAACTCCCAAGGGTGGCATCTAAAGTGCTCCTACAATTTGGCTCCCACTTGCCTTTCCAAACTGATCCCATGCTACTCCTGATTTTCTCGTCATTTCCTGCACAGAGTCCATTTTTTGCTGTACCTTTGTTCACAATCACCACCACCCTTTCCCCATTTCCACAAGATTAAAGCAATCCAGGTCCATGCCAAATGCCATCATTTCCTTGAAGCCTTCCCTGATTCTTTTATTGAATACATTGTTTGTATCTCTGTTATAGCACATATAAAATTCTACTTTATATATTTGCACAAATGTCTATAACTTCATAGACTGTAAGCTACTTGAAGGTAGTAAAGTATAGTAGGCAATGGCTGGGCTTTAGAGTCAGGCTGGATTGAAATCCTGTCTTACTATATGTGATCTATGGGCAAGTTACTAAACTTCTTTAAGCCTCAGTTTCCTCATCTGTAAAATGGGGATAATAATAGCATTTACACATATATTAGTATTATGAGGATTAAATGAGGTAAATAATGTATGTTAAGTGCTAACTGGCATATCATGTATTAAATGGTAACTACTATTTTTACCACCATTATTGTTGATAAGAGGAAAATAGCTTTTTCATCTCTGTTATCTTCTACATGGTCTCAATTACAGAAATCTCAGTAACAGTTTATTGAATGACCAATTTTGGACCACAAAATTCCATTCGTTAAACATCCCTGAGATTTCCCTAAACTGAAACAGTCTCTTTTTCTCTCCGTTTACCTAGTATCCTCCCCTCCGCCCGCTACCAAACTCACCTGGTGCAAAATGGTATATCGCTCACGAAACAGCTCTGCTTTATCTCTTGCTGTTCCAAATAAATTTGGTGCAGGATGGTTGGTCATTAACAGACTAGAAAAAAAGAATGCCTATTTTTGACTATCATAATACACAAAGGTGAGCCAAAAGTGAAGCAAGAGACTATATACCTTCTGGAAAAAAAAGTACATTTGAAATTAATTTAAAATCAGTGGATGGCATACTTACGGAAGAAATTTTTTTCTTTCTGAATTGTACACAAAGCGTGGAATATCAAATGCTCCTATGATATTGAAAACGTGCTCTCTGAAAAACATCCCACAAAACACAGACCTAATTTACTAAAACGTAAGTACTCTACGTGAACATGATAACTTGCATTATAAGTCTTTGTAATAACATACTTCTCACATTTTCTCAGGCCAGGCACACAATTTCTTTCTCTTTTTCTTTCTTTTTTTTTTTTTTTTTAAGACAGAGTTTCACAATTGTTGCCCAGGCTAGAGTGCAATGGCGTGATATCGGCTCACTGCAACCTCTGCCTCCCGGGTTCAAGTGATTCTCCTGCCTCAGTCTCCCAAGTAGCTGGGATCACAGGCATGCACCACCATGTCCAGCTAATTTTGTATTTTAGTAGAGATGAGGTTTCTCCATGTTGGTCAGGCTGGTCTCGAACTCCTGACCTCAGGAGATCCACTCACCTCGGCCTCCCAAAATGCTGGGATTACAGATGTGAGCCACCATGCCTGGCCCACAATTTCTTATAGTGTCAAAAATACTATGGGGGTAAAATGTTTAGCTTGTGCATTTTCATCTCAAGGGACAAGAAAGCATTGCCAAAACTCACAAGAAAAAAAAATTAATCAAGTTAATGTCCAGTTAAGAATTTCATCTGTTGAAAAGGAACAATTATACAAACAATAGTCACAACTTAAAGAAATCTCTACTTTTATAAGCTACGTGTTTTTGTTTTGTTTTGTTTTGTTTTGAGACGGAGTTTCGTTCTGGTTGCCCAGGCTGGAGTGCAATGGCTCAATCTTGGCTCATCACAACCTCTGCCTCCAGGGTTCAAGAGATTCTGCTGCCTCAGCCTCCCAAGTACGTGGGATTACAGGCATGCACCACCACGCCCGGCTAATTTTGTATTTCTAACAAAGGCAGGGTTTCTTCATGTTGGTCAGGCTGGTCACTAACTCCCAACCTCAGGTGATCCGCCTGCCTCAGCCTCCCAAAGTGCTGGATTATAGGCATGAGCCACCGTGCCTGGCCATGAGCTACAGTATTATTAAAGGATATGATTAAGTTCCAACAATTTTTATTTTTTTTGTTTTTGTTTTTGTTTTGTTTTTTGAGACAGTCTCACTCTGATGCCCAGGCTGGGTAACTTGGCTCACTGTAACCTCTTCGTCCTGGCCTCAAGCAATTCTCCCGCCTCTCAAGTAGCTGAGATTACAAGCATGTGCCACCACACCCAGCTAATTTTTGTATTTTTAGTAGAGAAAGAGTTTTGCCATAGTGGCCAGGCTGGTCTCAAACTCCTAATCTCAAGTGATCCACCTGCCTCAGCCTCCCAAAGTGCTGGAATTACAGGCATGAGTCACCATGCCCAACTCCAACAATTTTAAAAATCTAAAATGTTTTTTTGTTTGTTGTTTACTTGTTTGTCTGAGATGGAGTCTACTTCTGTCACCCAGGCTGGAGTGCAGTGGTACAATCTCGGCTCACTGCAACCTCTGCCTCCCGGGTTCAAGCGATTCTCCTGCCTCAGCCTCCCAAGTAGCTGGGATTACAGGCACCCTCCACCACGCCCAGCTAATTTTTGTATTTTTAGTAGAGACGAGATTTCACTGTGTTGGCCAGGCTGGTCTTAAACTCTGGACCTCATGATCTGCCTGCTTTGGCCTCCCAAAGTGCTGGGATTACAGGCATGAGCCACCGCATCCTGCCAAATCTAAAATGTTATGCAAAAGTGTCCCAGGAAAAGTTATACAATGGAAAAAGAACCCCCCCCAATTCTGGCCATATCTTTCAGACTTATACAATATATATATAGTGTTAGAGATGGAAAACAAAAAAAATTATTTAATTTCAGACACTTTTAATAATACAACCATGTTTAAAAGAAGTTAAAAATTTCCACAGCACTAGTGTATAAATATCCCAACCTAAAAATCTTTCCTAAAATTTTATGTTTATCTCCCAAATTGAAAATGATCAAAAAAGGTTAATGCTACCCTAGAGGTAACAAGTATAGAGTAGCTGAGAATCAGTGAACTTGAGGAACCCTAGACTCCAGACACTGCTCCACTATTTTCTGGTGGATCAGTCTGAGTAAGTTATTGAACTTCTCATGCCATCTCTTCATCTATGAGAACAAGAGCCTCTATTGTGGTGTGATATAATGATTCTGACAACTGAAGATGCAAAAATCCTTTACTGTTCAGTCCCCACTGGCCCTCCACGTAGGTTGGCTGTAACACATAAACAGCCTGACAGAAATAGCCGAGCCAGGTCAGTGAGGAGTGCGGGCTGGCTGACCCTGGCACTGCGCACTGAGGCCAGGGATAGGCCTGAGCCTCGCACCTCCTCTGAAACTGTGCCCTGCCTTTGAGGCCTGGCAGGTGTGGGAGCAGGGGCTGCCCAAAGGTGGGCTGGGGTTGCAGGAAGCAGCCTGGTAGTTGCTGTGTGTCCTGAGGCTTTAAGGCACCTGACCCCACCCTTGTTGGAACTGGCATCACCAGGACCTGTTTACTCTAGATGAGAATCATGATCCCTGGGCACGTAGTGCATTGCCTGGAAGAGCTCACTCACCCTGGACGAGCCCTTTGGCAGCCTCAGACCATCCTTGAGGAGGATGACTGAGACACACACACTGTGTGCCTGCTCTTAGGGAAATGTCATTATTGACAATAGCTATTTCTTCATCCAGAACCTGGGGGAGGGTGGGTTCAGCTATGTGGACCTAGTGGAGGGGTTACAGGATGGACACTTCTACGCCCTGAAGTGAATCCTGCATCACAAGCAGCAGGACCACGAGGAAGCCCAGCCAAGAAGCGAACATGCATCGCCTCTTCAATCACCCCAACATCCTTTACCTCACGGCTTACTGTCTGAGGGAGCAGGGTGCTAAGCATGAGGCCTGGCTGCTGCTTCCGTTCTTTAAGAGAGGTATACTGTGGAATGGAGAGAAAGGCCGAAGGACGATGGCAACTTCCTCACTTACAATCAAATCTTTCAGCTGGTGCTGGGTATCTACAGCAGCCATGAGGCCATTAATGCCAAGGGTTAGGCCCACAGGGACCTGAAGCCCACCAGTATCTTGCTTGGAGATGAGGGGCAGCCAGTTTTAACAGACTTGGATGCCATGAATCAAGCATGCCTCGAGTGAAGGTCTCCCACCAGGTCCTGACCCTGCAGGACTAGGCGACCCAGTGCACCATCTCCTACTGAGCCCTAGAGCTCTTCTCTGAGCAGTCACTGTGTCATTGATGAATAGACTAGTGTCTGGTCCCTGGACTGTGTGATACATGCCACAATGTTTGGGGAAGGCCCTTATGAAATGGTGTTCAGGAAACGTGACAGTGTGGCCCTTGCTGTGCAGAACCAACACAGCATCCCACAAAGCCCCATGCATTCTTCAGGAGTGTGGCAGCTCCTGGCCTCAGTGATCACTGTGGACCTGCTGCAGCACCCTCACAATGCTTGCCTCCTCAGTCAGCTGGAGGTACTGCAGCCCCCAGCTCCTGGCCAGCACACTGCCCAAATCTGAACAAAGCAGTGGCCATGTTGAGGACGTAGCCCCTTGTGCCTTGGAAAGAGGCTCCCATCCCTCACTGCAGTCTCTACCCATTCTTTCTTTTTTCTTATTTTTCTTTTTCGTCTGTCATCCAGGCTGGAGCAGAGTGGCACGATCTTGGCTCACTGCAATCTCTGCCTCCCGGGTTTAAGTGATTCTCCTGCCTCAGCTTCCCAAATAGCTGAGACTACAGGCATACACCACCATGCCCAGCTAATTTTTGTATTTTTTAGTAGAGATGCGGTTTCACTGTATGTTGGCCAGGCTGGTCTCGAACTCCTGACCTCAGGTGATCTGCCCACCTCAGCCTCCCAAAGTGCTGGGATTACAAGCATGAGCCACTGCGCCCAGCCTGATTTTCTGCTTTCTTACCCCCAGGAGCAACACCTGGACAAGGGGCTTTACTGAGTGGGGGTGAGACAGGGGTTGGGAAAAGGAAAACTGATGGGATATGGTACATGGCTCTGTGCAGGACTGTTGAGCTCATATTATTATGTTCTGCCTCCAAATCTGGGAGCAGGAGAATGTATAAACAGAAGAATAAAGTGAATGCAGATTGATGTGGGGAAAAATAAGTAAATAAATAAATAACAGGTAACTTTAGGGTAAACAATGAGTAATGTCTATTTTAGGATAATAATCCTTAAACTTTAATACCATCGTTTTGAATTTCTATTGATTGCTTTAGGAACATTCATTATACTCTAGTATTTATTTTATTTTATTTTATTTTTTGAGACAGGGTCTCACTCTGTCACCTAGACTGGACTGTAGTGGCATGATCTCAGCTCACTGCAACCTCCACCTCCCAGGCTCAAGTGATTCTCCTGTCTCAGCCTCCCAAGTACCTGGGATTACAGGTGCATCCCACTACCGCCCGGCTAATTTTTGTATTTTTAGTAGAGATGGGGTTTCACCATGTTGGCCAGGCTGGTCTTGAACTCCTGACCTCAAATGATCCAACCACCTTGGCCTCCCAAAGTGCTGGGATTATAGGCGTGAGCCACTGTGCCTGGTCACACTAGTATTTTAAATGAGTTTGCAAGGGTAAAATTAAAAATCCTCAATTTCTGTATTTATTTATTTATTTATTTTTTATTTTTTATTTTTTTAGCAGTTTAAGTTCTGACACGGAGAAGATTACAACTTCTGACTAAAATAAAGATAATGACTCCTTTCAATCACCTCCATTACCCCAAATAGGAAAGAAGTGGCAATGTTAAAACTGTCTCTCAGCCCATTTTCCCCAGTGTTTTCCATGGCAATTCATAGTAAAATGCCATGAATTTGGATAGAAGTATCATATCAAGAGGGATATTCACAGAAATAAAACCCAGAAGAATTACTGCCATATAAATTCTTAAACCTAAAAACATGAGATAGTAGAGTCACAAAACTGAGGTCCTACTCTCATTTGCCATTCACCATGTGACCAAGTAAAGTTGCTGAAATTCTCTGGGCATGGTACTTTCCTAAGAGCAGCGTAAATTATACTTCTGAATATTCATTTCAATTCAACTCATTTGTAGCATAGAGAATAAAAAGTCAGATCCACTGGTTGGGTAGGCAGCAAAAGTTAGTAATGAATGGTACAGCAACATTGTAACTTCAAATCCTAGGAAAAACCAGTAAAGATGAATCATTTAATAATGAGGTTTGCAAAGAAAGCCATTATTTAAAAAGACATACAGAAATAACAACAGCAACCACTGTGGAAATGTTGATCACTAATAATTTTCCAAGACAATAATTAAAACTAAGTGCTCAATAACACCTCCAATGAGGAAAAAAGTTAACTGTACCCACATACATAGTTTCATCAACAGACTGACTGCATTCATGGACTGCTGCTTCCACCACAGATCGTTCAATCATGCTTGATGACACTGAAAAGAGAATTGCAGAGTCAAATTTTAAAAACAAAAAAAAAAATTAGTTCTTTCCACAGACAGCTCTTTTCCCAAAAATAATTTGCAAATATTAATACTGGGATTCTCATTATACAGTTTTTGGAGGAAAAAAGTGTTAGGTCAGAACAATAACAAAAGCCTTATCTCAAATACCTTAATCTTCCACTCCAGACTCCCAGTCTGGAGTGCGGTAGCATAATCTCAGCTCACTGCAAAGTTCTCCACACTCAAAGTTACAATACCTTAATATACAATCAAATGCCTTAATTTCCTAAACCCTGTTTAGTTATAAGAACATTTCTGAGCCAGGGTCGGTGGCTCATACCTATAATCCTAACACTTTGGGAGGCTGAGGCAGGAGGATGGCTTGAGCCCAGGAGTTTGAGACCAGCCCAGGCAATGTGGTGAAACCCCATCTCTACAAAAATTACAAAACTTAGCTGGGTGGGTTGGCACACGCCTATACTCCCAGATACTCAGGAGGCCAAGGTGGGAGGATCACCTGAGCCCAGGGAGGTGGAGGCTGCAATGATCTCAAAAAAAAATAAAATAAAATAAAAATTTCCTAAGCTCCCACTTTTAATAAGGTTACATTAGTATAACTTTATCGTCATAACTGCTCAGTTTCAATGAGCATGATAGTAACAATAATAACAATAGCAGCTACCACTTATTAAGCACTGAGTAAATGTGGGGCACCATGCTCAGTACTTTATTTACAAGCATTATTCCATTAGGTAGACGTCCTGTAAGACTGATGTTAAAATGCCCATATCTTATACATAGGGAAAATACAACTTTAAGAGGTTGAAAATTTTGCCCAAAAACTAGAAGAGATAGAGAGCAACAAAAACCCAGGTCTGATTCCAGAGTGGGCTCTTTTAATCACTTTGATATGCTGTCAAGCAAAATAACATGTGCCATCTTAAATCAATGTACACAGAGACAAGTATCATTTTCTTTTTTTTTTTTTTGAGACGGAGTCTCACTCTGTCACCCAGGCAGGAGTGCAGTGGCGCGATCTTGGCTCATTGCAAGCTCCACCTCCCGGGTTCACGCCATTCTCCTGCCTCAGCCTCCCAAGTAGCTGGGACTACAGGCGCTTGCCACCACGCCCGGCTAATTTTTTGTATTTTTAGTAGAGAAGGGGTTTCACCGTGTTAGCCAGGATGGTCTCGATCTCCTGACCTCGTGATCTGCCCGCCTCGGCCTCCCAAAGTGCTGGGATTACAAGCGTGAGACAAGTATCATTTTCTAAATTTTCAAATGTAAAGGAATTTTCAAGCAAAGGTATATGTAAAATTCTGCCTTTAGGAATGAAAATGAGATATAATAACCATTTATCCTATATCACGGAGTATGTTTCTTCCTGTATAATTGAAGAGACTAGCATCTATATAACATTAAGAGTGAACTCAGCACTTCTCAGCCTTTTGGCTACCAAGATCAAGTGGAGAGTGAGCCATACCCACTTCTATCCTTAGGGTGCTATAAATATCAGACTTTTTTTCGGAGGGCAAGAGCATTTCTTCTTTCCATGCCCATGCTTGTGGTATTAAGTATTTAACAAAAAGGTCCCTGAATCCCTATGGCAGTGTGGCAGTGGCAGGAGGAAACATACTGATACAGTTTTACTGACAGGTTGAATAGAGAGGACTCTCAGAAAACTCCCCCAGGTATATGGCTGAAATGGACTGCAAATTATAAAACAGTGGAACAGAGATTTAGTTCATGTATTGGTGGTCCCATTCTAGCTTCTTTGGGCATGTTTCAACAGGTGTGAATTTCCAAAAAAGGACACGAAGAAGGAGTGGAGGGGCCGGGCGTGTTGGCTCACGCCTGTAATCCCAGCACTCTGGGGGGCCAAGGTGGGTGGATTACCTGAGGTCAGGAGTTCAAGACCAGCCTGACCAATATGATGAAACCTTGTCTCTACTAAAAATATAAAAATTAGATGGGTGTGGTGGCGTGCACCTGTAGTCCCAGCTATTTAGGAGGCTGGGCCAGGAAAATCACTTGAACCCAGGAGGCAGAGGTTGTAGTGAACCGAGATCGTGCCACTGCACTCCAGCCTAGGTGACAAAGTGAAACTCTGTCCCCCTCTTACTAAAATAAAAAAAAAAAAAAAGGAGAAGAAGGAAGCACTGTGTAGAAAGGAAATGCCTTGAAGGAATTCCCAAACCTCTACCTTCCTGGGTCACCTTATGTTTCATAACTTTGGTATACTCAAGAAAAAAATGACCATCTTTTATAGAATGTGCTTTTCTTGAAATCCACTTATTCTTGTTTTTTTTTTTTTGACGGAATCTCATTCTGTCACCCAGTCGGGAGTGCGGTGGCATAATCTCAGCTCACTGCAACCTCTGCCTCCCAGGTTCCAGCGATTCTCCTGCTTCAGCCTCCCAAGGAGCTGGGATTATAGGCGCCTGCCACCATGTCTGGCTAATTTTTGTATTTTCAGTAGAGACAGGGTTTGCCATGTTGGCCAGGCTGATCTTGAACTCCTGACCTCAGGCATTCCCACCAGCCTCGGCCTCCCAAAGTGCTGGGATTACAGGTGTGAGCCACCATGTCTGGCCCCACTTATTCTTATCACAAGCATTATATAATTTTGTACAAATGTCTGTTTTCGCCGGGCGCGGTGGCTCACGCCTGTAATCCCAACACTTTGGGAGGCCGAGGCGGGAGATCACCTGAAGTCAGCAGTTCAAGACCAGCCTGGTCAACATCATGAAACCTTGTCTCTACTAAAAATACAAAAATTAGCCAGGCGTATTGGTGCACACCTGTAATCCCAGCTACTCGGGAGGCTGAGGCAGGAGAATCGTTTGAACCCAGGAGACAGAGGTTGCAGTGAGCCGAAATTGCACCACTGCACTCCAGCCTGGGTGACAGTGCAAGACTCCTCGGAAAAAAAAAAAAAAGTCTATTTTCTATAGTTTGCTTTCAGTAAAATGCTTTCCAACTCTGTTTAGTATATTCATTATCAGTGCATTAGTAGAATTGCTTTTTATTGAAAAGTTACTATCTCTGCCCTTTAACTTAGACTTACAAAATTAAGTTAAAATGACTAGCCATTCTATTAAAAAAAAAAAAAAATCCTTGAAGAAATTAAGAAGAGATGGCAGCTCTGCTTACTTTACTCTTTTTTCCTCCCAAACATTTAGGAGTACCTCACTTAAATACAACATGGTAATAGTCACTAGGAGAGACAAAGTGACTGTAAAGGACCAGATCAAAATCAGAAGCCAAGTGCAGGAAACACGGTGGTGACACCTCCACCGGGGGAGAGGAACTATAAAAGGGCGCTTGGGGAATATCTTGAGGTTCCAACTAAATTAAAGGTTTGGATGTCTTCAACAGTTAAAATAAAAAAGAAGGCCAGGCATGGTGGCTCCCACCTGTAATCCTAGCACTTTGGGAGGCTGAGGCGGGTGGACTGCGTGAGCCCAGGAGTTCGAGACCAGGCTGAACAACACAGTGAAATCCCGTCTCTAATAAAATACAAAAAATTAGCCCAACATGGAGGTGTGTGCCTGTAATCCCACCTAATCAGGAGGCTGAGACAGGAGAATTGCTTGAACCTGGGACGTAGGGGTTGCAGTGAGTCGAGATAGCGCCGTTGCACTCCAGCCTGGGCAACAGAGCGAGATTCCGTCCCAAAAAAGAAAAAAAAAAAAATTAAAATAAACTAAAGGTATTACCCCTTGGGAAGAAATGCTACCATGCATACATCTTATAACACTGGGACATCTTAATACTGAAGCCTCAACTTCACTTTAAATCTATACATCTAACTGAAGATGCAGAACTATATTAACAATTTAGGAGTTATCAGAAAATATTACTTACAGGGTTGCTTTTCAACTGCATCAATTATCTTTTCCAGTTTATCGTCAAGCTCTAATTCACTGATAGACTGCAGAGCTTCTGTGAGGTACTTAATAGCTTCACTAAGAAAAGGAAAGAAAAAATGAGGCAGGTCATTAGTAATTAAAGGCTAAAAGTTTTCTGCCAAAAAGCGGCAAACACTCATCAATCTGGCACTGAAAGGAAGAACACTAACTTCTCTCTTCAAATAGCACTCATCTTTCCTGTGCTTTCTGAACAAAATCATCCTCCTATATCTTGCTAACATAAAGCCTCAAATCACATCGTTCCTCTAAAAAGCCTTCCTAGACCAGCTCTACCTGCTGCAATCTTCCCTTTCTTCTGAAATTGTTAAAAATCATATTTACATATACCTTAGATCTGATATATCACATTAGCCTTGTACTACTTACTACCCTACATTTAAGGCAAGAGTCCATCTGTTTCAATGTCAAGCACCATATCCTGAACATAACAGACACTCATATATTTAATGTGATAATGCACTTGTTCAAAGTAAATTCCAATAATCACTGTTTTCAATTATAAAATAAGACAAAAAAATAGGCTTGGCCGTGCGCGGTGGCTCACGCCTGTAATCCCCGCACTTTGGGAGGCCAAGGCGGGCAGATCACGAGGTCAGGAGATGGAGACCATCCTGGCTAACACACAATGAAACCCCACCTCTACTAAAAATACAAAAAAATTAGCTGGGCATGGTGGCGGGCACCTGTAGTCCCAGACACTCGGGAGGCTGAGGCAGGAGAATGCCGTGGACCCGGGAGGCGGAGCTTGCAGTGAGCCGAGATCATGCCACTGCACTCCAGCCTGGGTGACAGAGCGAGACTCCATCTCAAAAAAAGAAAAAGGCTTAAAAAAACTATGACATCTGAATATAATCATAGAAACAACACTCATTAAAATCACATGAATTTGTGTTATATGAAAAGAGAGGTTGGCACTCCCTTTGACAAAGATGGAAGAGGCCCTCGGGCCTGACAATATGCATATTGTTAAGGCACTGCCACCTGCTTCATGGATGAGTCTGACCATCATTAAAAAAAAAAAAAAAAAAAAATCACAGCTGGGCGTGCAGTGGCTCACGCCTGTAATCCTAGCACTTTGGGAGGCCGAGGTGGGCAGATCACAAGGTTAGGATATCGAGACCATCCTGGCTAACACGGTGAAACCCCATCTCTACTAAAAATACAAAAACAAAATTAGCCGGGCGTGGTGGCAGGCGCCTGTAGTCCCAGCTACTCCGAGGCTGAGGCGAGAGAATGGCGTGAACCCGAGAGGCGGAGCTTGCAGTGAGCAGAGATCGCGCCACGGCACTCCAGCCCGGGCAACCGAGAGAGACTCCATCTCAAAAAATAAATAAATTAATTAATTAATTAAATTAAATTAAATTAAATCACATTAATTCCTGACTTAAATCCCAATAATGATCAGAATTAACATTATTAACTAGTTACATGCCATTACATGCCATTCTGTATTTGCAGCACACAACTTTACACCTTACATCAATATTATTGCTGATTACCGTATTAAACAATTAGCTAATTACATGCCATTCTGTATTTGTAGCACACAACTTAACATTTCACATATTATTGTTATAGTCATCACACTAATTGTTCTATATGTTGGGTTGCTTATTAGTTGTTTTGTGTGTAGGTGTTGCATCTCTCCAATTTATTATAGATAACTGAGAACTGAGTTATTATAGACAACTTTAAAACTGTAACTTAGAAGTCTGTGCCATCCTTCCACAGGGTTCTAAATACACTTGAAAGTGGTCCATAAATATTTGACCACTGAGTCCCTAAAATCATATACATTTTGGGTACGTCTTGGGACAGTTTTTAGCATAGACCAAAACCTGCAAAGCCATACAGGATCTTGCCCCTGCCAAATCCCATTAAGCTCATACCATGTCCCTGGCCTTCCTGGCACTCTCCTGCTTCGGGGTCTTTACATGGCCATTTTCTCCCACTTTTCTCTCCACCTAGTCAGGTCCTGTTCTTTTTTTTTTTTCTTTCTTTCTCTTTTGAGATGGAGTCTTGCTCTCTCGCTCAGGCTGAAGTGCAGTGGCACAATCTCGGCTCACTGCAACCTCCACCTCCCGGGTTCAAGCTATTCTCCTGCCTCAGCCTCCTGAGTAGCTGGGATTACAAGCACGCAACACCAGGCCCGGCTAATTTTTGTATTTTTAGTAGAGATGGGGTTTCACTTTGTTGTCCAGGTTGGTCTTGAATTCCTGACCTCATGATCCGCCCGCCTCCCAAAGTGCTGGGATTACAGGCATGAACCACCACACCTGGCCAAGTCCTGCTCATTCTTTAACAGTCAGCCCAAACCACTTCTGAAGTGAAGTTTTTCCCTGACTCTACAGCAGTTTATACACGTTATTATACACTCTCATAGCACTTCTTTCCTGAAATCCCTTTCACAATTGAGATTAAATAGCTGTGAAATAGTCATTTAATATCCATGGTAGACAGACTTCTAAGATGGCCCCCAATAATCCATTACTCCTAGTAGTTACACCTATGTAATCCCCTGCCCTTGAGTGTGGGCTGGACCTAGTAACTTGTTTCTAAAAATAGAATATAGCAAAAGGGATAGAAAAACTTACTGTATTGTAATTTTGAAAGTAAAATTTAAAAGTGAAAAGAAAAAATTTAAAAATAACAAGATGTCACTTCCTTGATTAGGTTACTTCAGAGTTACTAGCAGACTCTCTCTCTTGATGAAGCCATATCGGGGGCACACATGGCAAGCGACTGAGGGTAGCCTCCAGCCAACAGCCTGCAAGGCAATCAGGAACTGAATCCTGCCAACAACTGAATGAGCTTGAAGCGAATGCTGCCTGGTCAACATTTGAGATGATCCATCTTGACTGCAACCTTGTGAAAAGACCCTGAAGTTGAGGACCCAACGAAGCCACACCTGAATTTCTAACCCACAGAAAATGTGAGATAATAAATGTATACTGTTTTAGCCTCTAAGTTGTGGGGTAATTTGTCATGCAGCAATAGAATACACTATCTGCCCCCTACAAAGCTCTTGCTCTCTCTTGCACCCCCTTGCCCTAGCACAGTGCTTTGCAGCTAACAGATTTAAGTATACTTATGACTGAAATAATAAATGAACAAAAGCTTAATATTAGGTCAAATTCTAAGTGAAAAGAAAGTTAATTCATCAGTTGCTCATGCTTTCAAAGTGTCAAGGACCAATTGAACAAAACTCATTATTTTCCCCCAAGGTATATCCATTACTACCCCAAAGTACAGTTAAAAGTCCCATAAAACTCACAAAAACCAACCAAAAATCTACACACACGAGAGCAATAAAAACAGATACAATGAGGTATATCCAGTTCAGCAGGTATTTAAATATGTATAAAATATTGTGTTCTAGGCCAGGCACGGTGGTTCACACCTGTAATTCCAGCATTCTGGGAGGCCACAGCGGGAGGATTACTTGAGCCCAGGAGTTCAAGACCAGGCTAGGCAGCATAGCCAGACCCCGTCTCTACAAAAAATACAACAAAAAATTAGCCAGGTATGGTGGCCCACGCCTGTAGTCCCAGCTACTTGAGCCCAGGAGGTTGAGGCTGCAGTAAGTCAAGTTCGCATCACTGCCCTCCAGCTTGGGTGACAGTGAGACCATGTCTCAAAAAAAAAAAAAAAAAAAAAAAATACACACACACACACACACAGAACTCTAAAACACGTAACAGATTTAATGAGAAAAATCTTGGAAAGGTTAATATGTTCTATAGGTCCTCAGAAACACAGATATGCCCAGGAAACCTGACTTTCACTAAATTGGCAACTGCAGACGTGCGAGCGGGCTGTTTTGGGTCTCTCATCTGATGTCTCAGCAACCTTCCCGGGAGCCTGAGAGCTGACCGGGTCACAACGCTGATAACCGGCTGCCATAGACGGGTTGCCGCTTCTCCGGCTCAGTTTGACACGTTAAAAGAGCCCGGGCCCGCCTAGAAGAAACATTAAACTCCTTGCACGGGTCGGTGAAACCAAAGAAGGCAAGGCAGCCTCAAGATCTTAGAACTTTTTTTTTTTAAATGGAGTTTCTCTCTGTCGCCAGGATGGAGTGCAGTCGCGCGATATCGGCTCACCGCAACCTCCTCCTCCTGGGTTCAAGCGATTCTCCTGCCTCAGCCTCCCGCGTAACTGGGACTACAAGCGCGTGCCACCACGCCCAGCTAATTTTTGTATTTTTAGTAGAGACGGGGCTTCACCATGTTGGCCAGGATGGTCTCGATCTCCTGACCTCGTGATCCTCCCGCCTCGACCTCCCAAAGTGGTGGGATTACTGGCGTGAACCACCACGCCCGGCCGCTTCTTAGAACTCTGTCATTTAAGGTCAAGCCCCCTCTCCGCGCGCGGGGAGCCGCCGCGGTGCGTCCCGCTGCCGCACGAGGCAGCCGGGCCCCAGCTCTTCCCTCTCGCCCCTCAAGCTGCCCAAGCCCACTCACCCCCGGAGTAGCAAGCCCCGCAACTTAAAGGCAGAAAGCGCCCGGCTCCGCAACCGCTCCGGCGCCATATTCGCGATTTGGCGCCACCGCCGCAGCTCCGCCCCTTCCCGGGAGAGCCCGGGCCCAGCTCCGCCCCCGGACCTGTCCCGGGTCGCGCTCGACCCTGTTACGATCCCTGCTTGGTCCCGGCTGCCTGCGCCGCAGCCACTCGCACCTAGCAGTTTGCAACCACGGACCGAGTAGGCTGAAAGTGGAGATCACCTCGTGCTCCTTTGCTGCCGGGAAATTGAGGGCCAGAGCGTCTTCCCTGGTGTCGGGCTGCGTTGAGCCAGCCACAGCGCTCTCACCGCTGCCTTAGACATTCCACGACTGCGGCCGAGCTTCCCGGACCCAGGATCCCCCTTCTTTGAAGGCCGTGAGAGCTGTTGGGTTCCCTACTTCGCACAAGCTCTGGAAATACTGTGCCTCGACATTTACTGGAAGCTGTTATAAATCTCCATCGCTCCCACCTACCCCATTTTTATTTAACTTGAGGGCTTCGTATGCGCCATGCACTGTCATAAGCACTTTAAATGTGTGAATTGATGTGTTGCTCATGACAGCCCGATGAGCTGTGTGCTGTCTTTTCCACAACAGCCTCATTTTACAGATGAGAAAACTGAGACACAAAAATGGTAAAGGACTTGCTCAAGATGAAACGACGAGTTAAGTGGTGGAGTCAGGATCTGAACTCAGGTATTCTGATTCCAAGTGAACTGTCAATCCGCCACACTTCAAAACGCTTGCTCCAATGAGTTGACTAAACCATGGAGTACTTATAAGTAAACACGCGGCTTATAAAACATGAGGATGAGGCCGGGCGCGGTGGCTCACGCCTGTAATCTCAGCACTTTGGGAGGCCCAGATGGGCGGATCACGAGGTCAGGAGATCGAGACCATCCTGGCTAACACAGTGAAACCCCGTCTCTACTAAAAAATACAAAAAACTAGCCGGGGGAGGTGGCGGGCGCCTATAGTCCCAGCTACTCGGGAGGCTGAGGCAGGAGAATCGCGTGAACCCGGGAGGCAGAGCTTGCAGTGAGCTGAGATCCGGCCACTGCACTCCAACCTGGGCGACGGAGCGAGGCTCCGTCTCAAAAAATAAAAATAAAAATAAATAAAAATAAAAATAAAACATGAGGATGATTTCGCAGTACCAATGTAAAGTGACCTCCAACGTATACGGTTTTTTCTTTTTTAAAAAATCGCAGTTTAATGAAGGAAGGGAAACAAAAATATATGTTTTTGCATTTTAAAAAAACCTCTGGGCCCGGGCGCGGTGGCTCACATCTGTAATCCCAGAACTTTGGGAGGCCGACGCTGGCAGATCACTTGAGGCCAAGAGTTCGAGAACAGCCGGGACAACATGGTGAAAGCCCGTCTCTACCAAAAAAAGAAAATACAAAAAAATACAAAAATTAGCCAGGTGTGGTGGCGCGTGCCTGTAATCCCAGCTCCTGAGAGGCCCAGGCAGGAGAATCTCTTGAGCCTCGGGGGCAGAGGGTGCAGTGAGCCGAGATCATGCCACCACTCCAGCCTGGACAACAAAGCAAGACTCTATCTCAAAGACAAAAAAAGCCGGGAGCAGTGGTTCACACCTGTAATCCCAGCACTTTGGGAGGCCAAGGTGGGCGGATCATCTGAGGCCGGGAGTTCGAGACCAGCCTGACCAACATGGAGAAACCTCATCTCTACAAAAATACAAAAAAATCAGCCGGGTATGGTGGTGCATGCCTGTAATCCCAGCTACTCGGGAGGCTGAGGCAGGAGAATCGTTTGAACCCGGGAAGCGGAGGTTGCCCTGAGCCAAGATGGCGCCATTGCACTCCAGCCTAGGCAACAAGAGCGAGACTGTCTCAAAACAACAACAACAACAAAACAACTCTGGAAGGTTAAACCAGAGACCACAAAAATGATTAAATATAAAGGGGTGAGGGGATAGGGATGAAAGTGAAAACTTTCTTTACAGTGAGACTTTTAATGCATGTGTATGTCTTACGTATTCAAAAAATAGAAAATAAAAAGGTGAGCTTAAAATTGAATGCATACTAAAACCAATACACCTAATTGCATATTAAATTGGTAACATAACATCACAAGTGATTTTTGAACACAGTTCTCTTTATTTAGTGAAATATTTTTCAAAGACAAAAAGTACAAAGAAATTTTTAATTTTTATGTAAGAAAGGATAGGAGATAGGAATAGAAAGACATACAGTTAATTCTCATTACTGTACCTGTGATAGTTAGATTTTATAAGTAGCCACCAACAAATAATTAGTGAATACTAAACCATTGCTACTAGGGGAAGTACAGAATTAAGTTCCTGTGAGCGTCTGGTGACAATGTTTTCATCAACTGACCAATATATAACCTTGTTTTATGTGTGTTTTTATTTAAAAACATCTTTATATTGTGATTCATTAGCACTGAACTCAGGGCCAACAGCCCTATAACTCATAGCTGAAGGAAGCTTATTTATTACATGTATTTTCTCCATAAGGCACATTACAACCTTCTTGTACCTTCAAATACTAGACAAAACTTTAGCACTGTGCTTGGAGGCAACTTTAAACAGCAAAATCACCAACAAAAATAGCAAAAATGCTGAAAATACAGCACTAAATGTACCAGAAAAGGGACATTTACTTATAGTATGAGAGATGACAGGAGAAGGCAGTGTCACTCTGTTTAACCTTATCTGGGAATGTACGTGATAGGCAACTCAAATGTTCTGCTTCTCTATGCATGTCCTCAAAAGACCATGAAAGCTTCCAATATTGATTTGGGCATTACAAATAAATGTTAGTGAATAGGTGAATTTGCGAATAAGGAATGCACAAATAATGGGGATTATCTGCTTACCCCCTAGAAGGATGAACAAGGAATAAATGGTTACCTATGGGCAGGAAAGGAGGGGGAATAGGGACATAAAATGATAAAGCTATTAAGTAAAGTGTTTTAGGAAATGGATATTTATTTGCATAGTCCCAAAATATCATCCTCCGGATAACTGATAATTATACAGGGGAAAATGCACTTTTACAATGGAACATTCAGAGGTTACCACCTTAATCAAGTATCAAACTTAGCAGGAGAATTGCTTGAACCCAGGAGGCAGAGGTTTCAGTGAGCTAAGTTCATGCCACTGCACTCCAGCCTGGGCCACACAGTGAGACTCTGTCTCAAAAACAAAAAACAACAACAAAAACCGGCCATGGGCAGTGGCTCACACCTGTAATCCCAGCACTTTGGGAGGCTGAGGTAGGCAGATCACCTGAGGTCAGGAGTTCGAGACAAGCCTGGCCAACATGGTGAAACCCCATCTCTATTAAAAATACAAAAATTAGCCGGGCGTGGTGGTAGGCGCCTGTAATCCCAGCTATTCGGGAGGCTGAGGCAGGAGAATCATTTGAACCTGGGAGGCGGAAGTTACAGTGAGCTGAGATTGTGCCACTGCACTCTGCCCTGGGTGACAGAGCAAGACTCTGTCTCAAAAAAAAAAAAAAAAAAAAAAAAAGACTAAAAGAACTTAACAACCAAATGCAATAGGTAAGCTTTGATTGGGTCCCAGTTTGGAAGAAAAAGCTATAGTTACAATACAATTCAGGAATTCTGAATATCAAATTATATCAAGAAATAACAGCCAAGCGCGGTGGCTCACGCCTGTAATCCCAGCACTTTGGGAGGCCGAGGCGGGCAGATCACGAGGTCAGGAGATCAAGACCATCCTGGCTAACACGGTGAAACCCCGTCTGGACTGAAAAAAAATACAAAAAATTAGCCGGGCGTGGTAGCAGGCGCCTGTAGTCCCAGCTACTCAGGAGGCTCAGGCAGGAGAATGGCATGAACCTGGGAGGTGGAGCTTGCATGAGCGGAGATGTGACAATGCACTCCAGCCTGGGCAACAGAGCGAGACTCCGTCTCAAAAAACAAACAAACAAAAAAAACAGTTGATTTTCTTACGTGTAGTAATAATATTGTGGTTATGTAAGTAAACATCCCTGTTTTTAGAAAATGTGTGCTGAAGTGCAACATTATACCTCCCACTCTCAAATAATTCAACAAAATGAAAAAGACAGACACACACATACCAACTAGTATGGTAGTATTAATAATAAAACTAGTATAAAACTAGTATGGTAGTATTAATAATTATTAACCTGGAGTGGAAGATACACAGGTACTCCTTGAACTATTTTTTCAACTTTTTTGTTTGCTATTTTTTATATTAAGAAATTGGAGAGAAAATAATCAATTCCAGTTGCCCAGCTTCCTCTCACAATCTGACCTCACAATTCCCATTTTCCCATAAATTTTCCCAATCACAATTCTCTTTCTCTCATAAATTTTCAACTTCTTCTTCTATGGCTCCTTCACCTGGCCAGCTCATAAAGTCCCAATACTTAAATGAACAATTATATGCTGATGACTCCAAAATCCCTATCTCTACCCCTTAGCTCTCTTAGACTTCAAATCCAACTCACTGTGCCTCCAAATGAACTCACCATTGCCCCTGCCCTCCTGGACCACCACCAAAACCTGTTGCTCCTCCCATATTGACTAACCTAGTGAAGGGCTCCACCCACCTTCCACCCAGTGACCAAGCTGGTAAACTAGGCATATTCTTGACTCTTCCCTCTCACAAATCAAAGTTCCCTGAACAACTTCCATTCATCTTTCAGTTCTTAGCTTAGACTTTACTTTCCCTCAGGAACCTTCCCTGTCTCCCCTCAATCTGAGTTAAAGGACCTCTGTAGACCCAAGGTGCCCTGGACTTTTGCTATTTTCACACTTACTGCACGGTATGTTGTCTGTTTGCTGGTCTGTAGACTCCACCAAACTCTACAGTCCAGGAGGACAAGTGCTCCATTTCAAAAATACAATACCAATATTACTAGTAACAATAAAGTGATGGAGTGAGAATTATAATTGACACATAGTTTACACTAAGTAAAATGCACATATCTGTATGCAGTTCAATGCATTTTGATAAATGTATACACCTATGTAACCACCACCTCAATCAAGATACAGTAGAACATTTTCATCACTCCAGAACACTTCCTGTACTCCTTTTTATCAATCCCCTCTGCCTCCCTACTCCCAAATAACCACTTTTCTGCTTTCTATTACTATAGGTCACTTTTGTCTATCTTGAATTTTTCTTTTTTCTTTTTTTGAGAAGGAATCTTGCTCTGTCGCCCAGACAGGAGTGCAGTGGCACGATCTCGGCTCACTGCAACCTCCACGTCCTGGGTTCAAGCGATTCTCCTGCCTTTGCCTCCCGAGTAGCTGGGATTACAGACACGCGCCACCATGCTAATTTTTGCATTTTTGGTAGAGACGGGATTGCCCAGGTTGGCCAGGCTGGTCTCAAACTCCTGAGCTCAGGTGATCCGCCCACCCCATCCTCCCAAAGGGGTGAGATTACAGGCATGAGCCACTGCGCCCGGCACAAAACTCCTATTGAGGGAAATCCAGTTACATCTTGTAAAGTTAAATAGGATTCCACATCTAGAACTCCACTCCAAAGATAGGCTTCTACAAATACAAAATAACATATGCATAACGTTATTCATCGCAGCATTATTTATGATAGCCAAAAAACCTGGAAATAACCGATATGTCCATCAATAACCTGTTTGAATAAGCTATGAGACCTCCAATCAGTGGAGTGCTATGAAGCTATAAAAAGGACTGAGGAGACCGCTGTACCCTGATATGGATCGTCAAGTGAAAAGAGCAAGTTAAGGAACACTGTATATACTTTTGTGTAAAAAAAGGAGCAGATACTCTGTTTATTTGTATCGTCAAAAATAAACAATAGAAAGTATCATTAAGTTGCACCACACTTAAGTGCCTTCTAATGTGATGCAATATGAAGTATTTTCCAAAAAAAATCTGAACTAGAATCTAATAAAGCTCTTAGATACAGCTTCCAGCCTAAAAGAAATATGGGGAAAGCTTGCACAAGTTAATGAGAAAGGACATTGAGGAACCAAACCCAGAAGGCTGTAGGAAAATAAGAAAACTAATCCATATAACAAACCAATGGCACAAGAGAGAAGGGAGAGAAGTTATTCTAGAGTAAAAAAGACATAAAGCGTTAACAACGAATTACAATGCTGGACAAACCAACTGTAGAAACGACATTTTGAGATAATCAAGGAATTTGACTACAGACTGACTACTAAATGAGGCTGTACTGCCAAAACACAATTCCAAGAGAGAAGGAATCAGCGCGTGGGAACCCCAGGCCCCTTCCCCACTGCGAGGAGCCAGACGTCCCTCAGCAGCCGCGCCGCCCCTCGCTCGACTCCCCGAGTGCAAGCCGCGGGACGTCGCAGACGCACTGACTCCGCCTTCCACCAATCTCGACCCTTGCCGCGTTCCGTTCGTGCGTGGAGCAGTCGGGACTGGAGGCTAGGCCGCCGGGCGGGCAGGGGCTGTGGCGCGGCAAGCGGCTGGCCAGCGACGGCGCGAATGGCGGACTCACAGCTGTTCTGCGTGGCGGAGGAACGCAGCGGCCACTGCGCCGTGGTGGACGGAAACTTCCTCTACGTGTGGGGGGGCTACGTGGTAAGGGGAAGAGGCGGGACGGGGCGAACTCGCGCTGGGAGACGCTCGGCCTGAGCGGACGCAGCGCCCGCCACACCCGCCCCCGAGGCCGCGACCCAGGCCTGGCGCGCCCGGCGCCTGCCGCCCCCCACCCCCAGCCCCTCCGCTGGCCGCCGCCCCCACAGCCGCGCCAGGGCTTGACGTCGTCCCGCCGTTACTACTTCTGTTAAAGCCTCAGACCCGGCTCCGGGCGTCTTTCCATTCTCCGTCCCCCACCCCCAGCAGTTCAGTAACCCGGGTTTGCCCAATGCAAAGGCAGTTACAGCGCGATTAAGTATGATCCTTACATACTGGCGCAGACTTAGAAGGACCCGAGGACGCCGCGCGGTATCATTTTGTATATATTTCCTTATTCCCACGGCGCGATTCGAAATAAAATATTGAAATCACTGAAGCATTTAAATATTTTTTCTTTCTTTTTTTTTTTTTTTTTTTTGTTTTTGAGATGGAGTTTCGCTCTTGTTGCCCAGGGCTGGAGTGCAATGGCACGATCTCAGCTCACCGTAACCTCCGCCACCCCAGGTTCAAGCGATTCTCCTGCCTCAGCCTCCCTAGTAGCTGGGATTACCGGCATGTGCCATCATGCCCGGCTAGTTTTGTATTTTTAGTTGAGACAGGGTTTCCCATGTTGGTCAGGCTGGTCTCGAACGACCTCAGGTGATCCGCCCTCCTTGGCTTCCCAGAGTACTGGGATTACAAGCGTGAGCCACCGTGCCTGGCCTATATAATTAAATATTTCTAAGTTATTTTTAGTGGTGTTTCTTTACTAATGGCTATGAATATTTTTCTGGTCTCAGAATAGACCCATGTTAGCAATAATATGCTAAGGAATATTATGCTTTAAAATTCTTGTTACAATGGAGGTTTGAACGTATGTGTGTGTTGTGTGTCCATAATCACAGAATTATAGAAGCAAGAATGGTAAAGCTGGAAAACCGGAATACTATATGCCAACCCTCTTAGTTTACAGATTTTTTTTCTTAAGCCATCTGGAAGTTCTCCTGATAGTAGAACCTACATCTTCTGTCTCGCTACCATTATGTGACAGACCTGTAACGTGACTGAATCACATTGAAATGACCAATAGACAGGCAGGCATACGTCGAAAGTATGGCGGGTTCTGTTCCAGACCACTGCAATAAAGCGAGGTCATACGAATTTTTTTATATCTTAGTGCATATAAAAGTCATGTTTACACTGTAGTGTGTTAAGTATGCAATAGTATTATGTGTAAAAAAAAAAATGTACCTGGCCGGGCGTGGTGGCTCACACCCGTAATTCCAGCACTTCGGGAGGCTGAGACAGGTGGATTACTTGAAGTCAGGAGTCCGAGAACAGCCTGGCCAACATGGTGAAACCCCGTCTCTACTAAAAATACAAAAATTAGCCGGACATGGTGGCGGATGCCTGTAATCCCAGCTAGTGTCGGGAGGCTGAGCCAAGATCGCGCCATTGCACTCCAGCCTGGGCGACAGAGGGAGACTCCGTCTCAGGAAAAAAAAAAAAAAAAAAAAAAAAAAAACTGTACATACCTAATTTCAAAATTATTGCTAAAAAATGCCAAGAATTATCTGAGCCTTCAGTGAGTTGTATTCTTTTTGCTCATGGAGGGTCTTCCTCCATGTAGATGGCTACTGACTGATTAGGGTGGTTGTTGCTGAAGGTTGTAGTGGCTGTGGCAATTTCTTAAAATAAGACAATGAAGTTTGCCACATTGAGCCTTCCTTTCACAAAATATTTCTCTGTAGCATGCAATGCAGTTTGATTTTGTGTGTGTGTTTACGTGTGTGTGTGTTGAGACGGAGTCTCTCCTGCAACCTCCGCCTCCCAGGTTCAAGCGATTCTCCTGCCTCAGCCTCCTAAGTAGCTGGGATTACAGGTGTGCACCACCATGCCTGGCTAATTTTTGTATTTTTTACAGGCGTGAGCCACTGTGCCCAGCCATGAAATGTATTTTCTTAAATAATAAGACTTGAAAGTCAAAATGATTCCTTGATCCATGGGCTACAGAATGGATATTGTGTAGCAGGCATGAAAAGATAAATCTTGTAGATCTCCATCAGAGCTCTTGGGTAACTAGGTGCGTTATCAATGAGCAGTGAGTGATATTTTCTGAGCAGTAGTTCTCAACAGTACACTTAAACTACTCAGTAAGCCATGCTGTTAAAGAGACATGCTGTCATCCAGGCTTTCTTGTTCCGTTGTTAGAGCATAGGCAATGTAGATTTAGCATAATTCTTAAGGGCCCTAGGATTTTCAGAATGATGAACATTGGCTTCAACTTAAAGACAGCTACTACATTAGCCACTAACAAGAGAATTAGCCAGTCCTTTGAAATCGGGCATTGACTTCTCCTCTCTAGCTATGAAAGTCCTAGATGGCATCCTCTTCCAATATAAAGCTGTTTCATCCACATTAAAAATCTATTGTCAGTCGGGCGTGTTGGCTCATGCCTGTAATCCCAGCACTTTGGGAGGCCGAGGCGGGCGGATCACGAGGTCAAGAGATCGAGACCATCCTGGCTAACATGGTGAAACCCCATCTCTACTAAAAATACCAAAAAAAATTAGCTGGGCGTGGTGGTAGGCGCCTGTAGTCCCAGCTACTCTGGAGGCTGAGGCAGGAGAATGGCGAGAACGCAGGAGGCGGAGCTTGCACTGAGCGGAGATCCCACTACTGCCCTCCGGTCTGGGCTACAGAGCAAGACTCCGTCTCAGAAAAAAAAAAAAAAAAATCTGTTGTTTAGTGTAGCCACCTTCATCAGGTAGCTGCACTAGAGACAGGATTTAGCCAGATCTTTTGGATAACTTGCTGCAGCTTCTACATGAGCACATGCTGCCTTGCACTTTTTTTTTTTTTTTTTTTTTTTTTTGGAGACAGAGTTGCCCAGGCTGTGGTACAGTGGCAAGGTCTCAGCTCACTGCAGCCTCCGCCTTCTGAGCTCAAGCAATTCTCTTGCCTCAGCCTCCTGAGTAGCTGGGATTACAAGTGCATGACACCACACCTGGCTAATTTTTGTATTTTTAGTAGTAATTTAGTAATTTTTGTATTTTTGCCATATTGGCCAGGCTGATCTCTAACTCCTGTCCTCAGGAGATCTGCCCACCTTGGCCTCCCAAAGTGCTGGGATTACAGGTGTGAGCCACTGTGCTCAGCCTTACCTTGTAATTTTATGTAATGAAGAACAGCTTCCTTCCTAAAAATTCATATTAGCTTCAAAATTCTGCAATTTCTCAATTCTCTCAGCCTTCATAGAATTTAAGAGAGTTAAGACCCTCCTCTGGGTTAGGCTCTGGCCTAAGGGAATGTTGTGGCTGCTTTGATCATGTACCCAGACCACTAAAACTTTCTCCACATCAGGAATAAGGCTGTTTTGCTTTCATGTTACTCATTTTTCATTAAAATAGCACTTTTAATTTCCTTTAAGAACTTTCTCTTTTTCACAATATGGCTAACTGGCATAAGAGGCCTAGCTTTTGGCCTGTATTAGCTTTTGACTTGCCTTTTTCACTAAGCTTAATTGTTTCTAGCTTTTGATTTAAAGTGAGGGACATGCCACTGTTCCTTTCACTTGAACACTTAGGAGTCCATTGTAGAGTTACTAATTGGCCTACTTACCTTTTTTTTTTTTTTTTTTTTTAGACGGAGTCTCGCTCTGTTGCTCAGGCTGGAGTGCAGTGGCCGGAGCTCAGCTCACTGCAAGCTCTTGACTCCCCGAGTTTACGCCATTCTCCTGCCTCAGCCTCCCGAGTAGCTGGGACTACAGGCGCCTGCCACCTCGCCCGGCTAGTTTTTTGTATTTTTTAGTAGAGATGGGGTTTCACCATATTAGCCAGGATGGTCTCGATCTCCTGACCTCGTGATCCACCTGTCTCGGCCTCCCAAAGTGCTGGGATTACAGGCTTGAGCCACCGCGCCCGGCCCCTACTTACCTTTTTTTTTTTTTTTTTTGAGATGGAGTCTCACTGTGTTGCCCAGGCTGGAGTGCAATGGCACAATCTCAGCTCACTGCAAGCTCCACCTCCCAGGTTCACGCCATTATCCTGCCTCAGCCTCCCGAGTAGCTGGGACTATAGGCGCCCGCCACCACGCCCGGCTAATTTTTTTGAATTTTAATAGAGACGGGGTTTCACCGTGTTAGCCAGGATGGTCTCGATCTCCTGACCTCGTGATTCGCCCGCCTCGGACTCCCAGAGTGTTGGGATTAAGGAGGGAATAAGGAGGCCCAAGGAGAGGGAGAGAGACGGGGGAGTGGTTGGTCAGCGGAGTAGTCAGAACACACACATTTATCAGTTAAGTTCACCATCTTAAACAGGCACAGTTTATGGTGCCCCAAAACAATTGCAATAGTACATAAAAGATCATTGATCACAGATCATCCTAACAGATATAATAATAATGCAAAAGTTTGAAATACTGTGAGAATTGCCAAAATGTGACATAGACATGAAGTGAGCATCACATGCTGTTGGAAAAATGGTGCCAATGGACTTGCTTGATGCAGAGTTGCCACACACCTTCAATTTATTTAAAAAATGCAGTATCTGTCAAGCACCGTAAAGCAAAGCACAATAAAATGAAGTATGCCTGTACTGTGTATGTTAAATAATTCTCAGATTCAAGTTGGTTTTTGTTGTTGTTTTGTGTGTTTATTTTTAATTTGGTTCAGTACCGGTGGGGGAAAATGAGAACTAACTTTTGAGTGCTTACTACATCTGGCATGTGCTAGGTACTCTCACATCCCTAATCTTATATATTCTTACTGTATTCCTGTAAAGTAGGTCATATCCGTATTTTATAAATAAGGAAAATGAGTCTATTAGAGTAAGTGACTTTAATGGCCGTTGGACCTCAAGGGCAGCAGATACCAACCAACATGTATAGGATTTCCAAAGGCAACTTTTTAATGATAAATTAGGTGATTGTGCTTTGTTAGTGTCTGATATTTCCACCATTTATTC